AAAAAAACTCACTTTAAATAAAAAATTTAAATATAAAAACTCTTTAAATATAAAAAATTTAAAGAACAGAACAGTCAGAACAGCCGGCATTGTAGTCTACTCTCCCAGGATCAGGAAACAGTCCTCCATAAAATGCGCTGCACACATCTGAATATTTGGGTTGAAGTGTTCTAGAACAGTGTTGTAAATACAACTTAACCACTGATTTCTAGTCGTGTCCTCTTTTGACATTAAAACCCATTATAAACGAGGCATTTGTTGCATCCAGTGGGGACATAATTACTGATTATAATGACTTATACTGTATTTTTACGCATTGCGTATCGCACTGTGTAAACATAAAACCATGTCTGGAGAAACGACAAACAACAAGTGCTACTCTACAATGCTCAAAAGTCGCGTTGAATCGTCAGTGGCAAATTTTTAAATATAAAAAACTTACTTACAGGCTGCGAGTCAGAAGCGCCAGACTGTCCTTGCAAAGTTGGAACTGCCCCACTTTATAGAAACAGACAACGGCATTGTAGGCTACTCTCACAGGAAACAGTCCTCAACCTCCGCAAAATGTGCATCACACATCTGAATATTTGGGTTGAAGTGTTCTGGAACAGTGTTGTAAATACAACTTAACCACTGATTTCTAGTCGTGTCCTCTTTTGGAAGACCAAACAAAGTAGTTTCACTTTCACAATGAAACACACAGCGTCTCCACGACATGGCTGCAGCGGCAGCAACAATACTACAGCGAGAATAAAAGTTACGCCTTCTTTCTTTGCGTGAACATTTGGGCGGCGTTATGCAAATCTTCCCAGATAGTGATGTAGGTATGTGGGGGCGTGTTAGAACAAGCCGTTTTAGGTAGGCGTAGTTAACTTTTAACTTTTATAAAGAATATCTCTTTGGATTTGAGACTTTAGTCTTTGCAACTTTACAGATCTTCTTTATGCACCAAGAGCTTGTAACACTCCAAAGAGAAAGAAAAAATTAAAATCGCATTATATGACCCCTTTAAAGAAATTTTTGGCTCGTCTCCTGAGGCCACAGGAGGGTGCAATGACCGCATTAAATTGTTTATTCAATGCAATGAAACCATAACAGTCTTTAAAAATATGCATAATGTCTAAAGTAGCACATATAAATCACCAGTTTTGCATTTGAATGTGAATTTTTATTTTAAATTGGACTAATATTCCTTTTTTTGATTCACAGTCTCCTCTTCGCAGACAGGCACGGCACTCATTTCAGCGTGTTTGTGTGTTCGTGTGTGCTGTCTGCTCGTCACTCATAACACACGCCTTTAAATGAAACGAGCATGAAACTATCCTGCGCTATATCGAACGTTTTTCCGGTGATTATCGATGAAGGTGTACCGTCGATAAATACCGATACCGTTTTATCGCCCAGGCCTATGTTCGACTGTTATTTCAGCTGCTTCGGTGGTTTTCAGTCCCGTGTGATCCAGACTAACCTGTTCAGGCTCCACATGACAGAACATGGATATCTTCTCTTTCACCGAGTTTTCAAGTGGAGTGGAGCAACGACACATAATCTGCAAGAGAAAGAGCAAAAGACGACTCAGAACTCTGATCGCAGGAACCAACACAGGTGTGGCTCATCACATTAAATATGGACATGATCCACTAATGCTTGACAATCAGAAAGTACCACAATTCTTTGTCTTCATTTTGAACAATATTTATTAGAGCTGTCAAATGAATAATCACATCCAAAATAAAAGTTTTTGTTTACATAATATATGCGTGTACGGTGTATATTTATTATGCATATATAAATTCACAAACGTGCATGTATATATTTAAGAAAAGTATGTTATGTTTGTATATTAAATATACTTATATATATATGATATAATTTATACAAATATAAATATATACATGTAAATATTTACAAAAAATATGCTTTATGTGCATGTCTTTATATATACATAATAAATATACACAGTACACACATTATGCAAACAAAAACTTTTATTTTGGATGGATTAATCGCTTGGCAGCACTTATATTTATATTTGTCTACCATTTGAAACCTAATAAACTTACCTTGCAAAGCTGTGGCTGAAGTGTATTATTTCTATAAAATAAATATGACATGGTTTTATGTGTTTTTTTTTATAATACGACAGTCTTTTTTAGGTGTTGCATGAGTATCTAATGTTTTAGACAAATATTTAACAGGGTAAGTGACATAAGTAGGCTAAATATCTGTAACTTTTAACTGCACAGAACTCATATTCCTTGCACACTCACACACAAAAATCGAAAATACGCATTGAATGTTACAAAAAAGCTGCTTTGATGGCTTTAGATGCGCTGGAAGCATCCATTTGGACACTCGACCTCTCCGAGAGGGTCTTAGCAAGCCGACACGGTTACTAAAACACACTCCGAGTCCTCCTCTAGATTCCTGAACATACACTGAAATTGCATGCAGACATTCTGAGTGCAGCTTGACTCACCAGGTCAGGTGACAGTCCCAGTCCTCTGAGCTCTCTCACACTGTTCTGCGTGGGTTTGGTCTTCTGCTCTCCTGTAGCGCTGGGCTGGACATCACAGGCGAGACAGTACGTCACTCATGTGATATGATGCTCTATAATGCGCTGTTCTGTGTGCGCCGACGGGAAAGCATACAATCCTCACCTGTGGTACCAGACTGACGTGAATATTGCAGAAATTCTCTCTCTTCACTTTAAACTGGAACTGTCTGAAGGCTTCGATGAAGGGCATGCTCTCTATATCTCCGACCGTACCGCCCAACTGCAAGCACATCAAAACCTCAGACACCCGTTCTAACATGCATCCTATCAAATGCAGTGTCCAGCTCTCGTCTCACCTCGATGACGCAGACCTGGGGCTCAACGCCATCGTCGTCTACGGGAACTTGAGCTTGACGCATCACCCACTCCTGAATAGCATCAGTTATGTGTGGCACCACTGGGACAAATGAACATACAATGAAACACAGACACACCAACTTCTCTTTCCAACACAGCATGATTTATCCATTTAAAAGTCTCTCGTTTACGGTCTACAGTGTGTGACATGCTGTTGATTTCCACAGAAATTTATTTTGACTCGTACGGTCCCTCACTAACGCTTATTTTGGTAATCTGGTAATGTTGCGGTAATAAAAGCAAACAATCGCCTTTAAAATGACTTAAAATACCGTATTGACCCGAATATAAGTTTTATTTTATTTTTTTTATTCATCTGAAAAAATGCGGGCGTCTTATATTCAGGGTCTAGAGCAGTGGTCACCAACCTTTTTAGGCCCAAGATCCCTGACCTCGGCCTTTATGAAAGACAAGATCTACCTACTGAAGAATTGATAGAAAAAGACATCCCAGATTGTACTTCAAATTTGAGGTCTTTTACTTAGTATTTTAATTAGTGAAGCGCCGATCATAGCTGATTCAGAATTCAGATTTTCTTTTTTAACTAGCAAATTGGATTCTGATACTGACTTTTAAGCAAATTTATTTATTGGCTATTTGCTTTATAACAAAACAAACTGGCTTCAAAACTAAAATATCTAGCCAGTTGAAATTAGAGGCAAACAATGCATTTTAATCACGATCTGCACGGGCAGTTGTCTTTGATTTGATTTAGATTAATTTCGGGATTTAAAACAAAAACAGAATGGTCTGACTTTAGGTGTTATTTATTTATTTGCTACATAAAACTTCTGCACGAAACAAAAACAGCAGGTCTGAATGAGACGCACTCTCTGACAGTAGGTGGCGCTTATGAACAGGGTTGCCAGGTTTTCGTAATAAAACCAGTCCAATAGCGTTTCGAGGAGGGTTCCCCATTTAAATAAAGTCGCATTCGGAGGTAAAATACACGTTTTTCGGTAGGGATCTTCCAGTAAAATTCACATTAAAGGGACTATATATCTCGTTATTGGGGTCGCTTCAACCCGCGGACATGAACAACAACCCGCGGCAACAGTGTTAAAGTAGCCCAATTCCACGGGAAAACCACGGACTTGGCAACACTGCAAACATGCAATATGAAAATAATTGAAGACAAAATGTGTTTTACTGAGAAAAAACAAGATTGGGTTTTTAAAAAGCCTTTTTCCAAAAGGTACATTTGGAAAAAGGGGGGTCGTCTTATATTCGGGCCAATACGGTACATATATGTGAGCCTGGAGCACAAAAGCAGTGTTAAGTCGCTG